AAGCACATTCTCAAACATACTGAGCCGCTCACAAACACTGGACCGAATGCTCCATTAATACACTGACCGGGAAGCACCAATGTGGAATATTCCAACAACACCGCATGTGGACACTGAGGAGAACACGGAAACAATCCTGCATGAGGAAAACTACTGGATACATGAAACATCTCTCATACACTCACTCACACTGTTCCTCAAGCTCTGATCGTTTACATTTAGTTTTTACACTCAGCGGCCACTTTATTAGGTACATCTCACTAGTACCAGGTCGGACCGCTTTCTCCTCCAGAACTGTCTGAATCCTTCATGTTGTAGATTCTTCAAGCTACTGGAAATATTCCTCAGAGATTTTGCTCCATATTGTCATGATAGCATCACACAGTTGCTGCAGATTTGTCGGCTGCACATCCATGATGCCAATCTCCCGTTCCACCACATCCCAAAGCTGCTCTATTGGATTGAGCTCTGGGGACTGTGGAGGCCATTTGAGTACAGTGAACTCATCGTCATGTTCAAGAAACCAGTCTGAGATGATTGAGCTTTATGACATGCTGCGTTATCCTGCTGGAAGTAGCCATCAGAAGATGGAGACACTGTGCTCATAAAGGGATGGACATGGTCAGCAGCAATACTCAGGTAGGCTGTGGCGTTGATGCTCAATTGGTACTAATGGACCCAAAGAAAACCTCCCCCACACCATTACACCACCACCACCAGCCTGAACCGCTGATACAAGGCAGGATGATCCATGCTTTCATGTTGTTGAGGCCAAATTGTGAGCCGAGCATCCGAATGTGTCAGCAGAAATGGAGACTCATCAGAGCAGCAACGTTTCTCCAATCTTCTATTGTCCAGTTTTGGTGAGTCTGTGTGAATTGTAGCCTCAGTTTCCTGTTCTTAGCTGACAGGAGCGGCACCCGGTGTGCTCTTCTGCTGCTGTAGCCCATCCGCCTCAAGGTTGGCCGTGTTGTGTGTTCAGAGATGCTCTTCTGCAGAGCTCGGTTGTAACGAGTGCTTATTTGAGTTACTGTTGCCTTTCTATCAGCTGGAACCAGTCTGGCCATTCTCCTCTGGCCTCATCAACAAGGCATTTGCGCCCACAGAACTGCCGCTCACTGGATATTTCCTCTTTGTCAGAGCATTCTCTGTAAACCCTAGAGATGGTTGTGCGTGAAAATCCCAGTAGATCAGCAGTTTCTGAAATACTCAGAGCAGCCCGTCTGGCAGCAACAACCATGCCACGGTCAAAGTCACTGAAACCCCCTTTCTTCCCCATTCTGATGCTCACTCTGAACTGCAGCAGATCCTCTTGACCATGTCTACATGCTGTAATGCAGTGAGCTGCTGCCATGTGATTGGCTGATTAGATATTTGCATTAACAAGCAGCTGGACAGGTGTACCTAATAAAGTGGCCGGTGAGTATACATTCAGCATGTCTATAGTTTGCAGTAGTCAATATCTTGCCTTTATAGTTTGACATTTAGAGTTTTGTGTTGTCTGAATGAGTCCTGGAGAGCTGATAGTTTGATATATCACACACATCACATTCATATCACATACTAGTGTACCTAATAAAGTGGCCAGTGAGTATATATTTCTGGACATTATTTCGTTTTAGTCATCAAAAACTCAAACTATAATACAATTTAAAAGTGATATTTAAGGGGCAGATTTTTGTTTCTATATTTTTGTTCTCATTTTAAATGATTCATTTTTTAAATGAATAAAAAGCTCATCTGATCAATAAAAGTCAAATAAATCCTGAAATTCTTATTTTTCTACTTTTGTGATTATCAAAAACGGTAATCAGTGTAAAGCATGAACAATTTCATTGTACTTTTAAGTGCTGCATAGAAAGTTTCTTCCTTAAAAAATGAAGTTTTAATGGTTGTATTATTGTAAATCTGAAAATGACGTTCTACTGTACAACAGTAATATAGTTCTGTCACAATGTCTGAGCTAAATCATATTTCCATATACGCAGACAAGAGCTTATATCAAATCAAAGGACTATTAAAGGAGTCTGTCCTGTTATTCCTCTAGCACTGAGCAGATCTGAGTAGCAGTGAAATGATCTTCATGTCTGATTCAGTCAAACCTTCATCACTTCATCAATCAGATGAACCAGGGCTCTGTCACAGATACACATCTGACTTGGTGAATAATCCATCAGTCGCTCTGTTCCATCCAGAGATGCTGATTACACTCATGCAGAGAGGGAAACATTGCTGTTTTCTAGGAACTCATTCGTTCATTCTCCTTCTGCTTATTCTCTATTTCAGAGGTCGCCACAGCGGAATGAACCACCAACTATTCCGGTATGTGTTTTGCACAGCAGATGCCCTTCCAGCCGCAACCCATTACTGGGAAACACCCATACACACTCATACACTACAGCCAGTGTAGTTGATCAGTTCCCCTATAGCGCATGTGTTTGGACTGTGGGGGAAACCCACACCAACACGGGGAGAACATGCAAACTCCACACAGAAACACCAACTGACCCAGTCCAGACTTGAACCAGCAACCTTCTTACTGTGAGGCCACAGTGACACCACTGAGTCCCCGTGCCTGATTCAGTCAAGCGCTCACGCTTCATCAGTCAGATGAACCTCTGTAACAGGCTCTATATTGGTTTTAGGGCTCTGTAACGATGACAAATCTGCTTTTGACAGTAATTAGTGAATAATTCATCAGTCGCTGTGTTTCCATCTAATCTGTGCAAAACTGGATTATGGCATTAAAGATTTGAAATTAAATGAGTTTTCCAGCCAATGATGCACAGAAGAGCATCAGCTCCTGCACAGAGAGGAGTGGAGTCTGGGATTCTCCACTGTTCTCCTCTAATAAATGAGCTGCACCTCAGAAGACCAAGACCAAACGCAGTGAACACGGTGAATGCTGTGATTTCTGGAGGAGTGAGAGCAGACAGATGCAAGTGGTGCTCGCTGCAGAGCCATTTGAGGAGAGCTGAGCTCCAGCGAGGGGGAGCTTAAGCTTGAGCTCCACCTTTTTTGCACTTCTTCTACGAGTGATGTCACTGGGGGTAGGGTTAGGGGTGGGGTTGGTGTACGCATTAAAACAGCTCACAGGAGGAGGAGCGACAGCTCATGCTCCCCCTCGCTGGAGCTCAGCTCTCCTCAAATGGCTCTGCAGCGAGCACCCTCTCGACAGATGCTCAAGACAGTTCTGGAGGGAATAATAATAGAAGAAGAAGAATACTGAAGCACTGTGATGACGAACTGATGGATAACTGAGGCCTTTAACAATCAGCACAACAACATCTCACATCTGACACACTCGAGATCTGCAGACCAACATTACTGACGCAAACACCCTCACACACACACATTTATATCTGCAGACCAACATTATTGATGTGAAGACCCTCACACACACACACACACACACACACACACACACACACACACACACACACACACACACACACTTATATCTGCAGACCAACATTACTGTAAAGACCCTCACACACACATTTATATCTGCAGACCAACATTAATGTAAAGACCCTCACATACACATTTATATCTGCAGACCAACATTAATGATGCAAAGACCCTCACACACACATTTATATCTGCAGACCAACATTAATGATGTAGAGACCCTCACACACACATTTACATCTGCAGACCAACATTAATGTCACAAAGACCCTCACACACACATTTACATCTGCAGACCAACATTAATGATGTAAAGACCCTCACACACACATTTATATCTGCAGACCGACATTAATGACACAAAGACCCTCACACACACATTTATATCTGCAGACCAACATTAATGACACAAAGACCCTCACACACACATTTATATCTGCAGACCGACATTAATGACACAAAGACCCTCACACACACATTTATATCTGCAGACCAACATTAATGATGTAGAGACCCTCACACACACATTTATATCTGCAGACCTACATTAATGATGTAGAGACCCTCACACACACATTTATATCTGCAGACCTACATTATTGACGCAAAGACCCTCACACACACATTTATATCTGCAGACCAACATTATTGACGCAAAGACCCTCACACACACATTTATATCTGCAGACCGACATTAATGATGCAAAGACCCTCACACACACATTTATATCTGCAGACCAACATTAATGACACAAAGACCCTCACACACACATTTACATCTGCAGACCAACATTAATGACGCAAAGACCCTCACACACACATTTACATCTGCAGACCAACATTAATGACACAAAGACCCTCACACACACATTTACATCTGCAGACCAACATTAATGACGCAAAGACCCTCACACACACATTTACATCTGCAGACCAACATTAATGACACAAAGACCCTCACACACACATTTACATCTGCAGACCAACATTAATGACGCAAAGACCCTCACACACACATTTATATCTGCAGACCAACATTAATGACGCAAAGACCCTCACACACACATTTACATCTGCAGACCAACATTAATGACGCAAAGACCCTCACACACACATTTATATCTGCAGACCAACATTAATGACACAAAGACCCTCACACACACATTTATATCTGCAGACCAACATTACTGATGCAAAGACCCTCACACACACATTTACATCTGCAGACCAACATTAATGACGCAAAGACCCTCACACACACATTTACATCTGCAGACCAACATTAATGACGCAAAGACCCTCACACACACATTTACATCTGCAGACCAACATTAATGACGCAAAGACCCTCACACACACATTTATATCTGCAGACCAACATTAATGACACAAAGACCCTCACACACACATTTATATCTGCAGACCAACATTAATGACGCAAAGACCCTCACACACACATTTATATCTGCAGACCAACATTAATGACACAAAGACCCTCACACACACATTTATATCTGCAGACCAACATTAATGACGCAAAGACCCTCACACACACACATATCTGATCAGCATCTGTCAATCACAGCACACAGACTGATGAAGCGCAGGCTTTACTCAATAAATGTGTTTTCTCTCATGGAATAATGCGTTTGTCCTGTGCATCAGGTTTTTAGGTGTATTTTCATCATGTTTGCACATCCTGATGTTTCCTGTAAGCATTGATTTTATGCAATAATCCAGAATGTGCATAATAATATGTGGATGGAAACAGAGCGAGTGTGTGACGATGGGTTTAGCGGCTCACTATAATCTGAGAAGAGCTTCAGCAGACCACTGATTATCATGAGATGAAGAGCTGGAGTCCTCCAAACACACACACACACACACACACACACACACACACACACCCTCCAGAAGTTCGAGTGTCCTGTTCTCAATCAGCTCTGTAGGCACGGAGAGCAGGAGGAGGCCCCGCCCCCTGCGGGATTCTGAGCGTCTGATTGGCTCAGAGAGAATCAAAGCTCCTCAAAACATGATTTGAAAAACACGAGATTCGTTATTGAGTCATTATTAGGAAGTTGAGGCTGCAACTGCTCAAAAACACACTCACACACACACACACGTACACAAACACACTCCTGCAGTAGAGAGAGAGAGAGAGAGAGAGAGAGAGAGAGAGAGGATAATGGGAAGAGAAGGAGAGCATCATAAAGAAACACACACACACACACACACACACACACACCTCTCTCTCTCCCTCTCCGTCAGTCTGTCCTCCGGGGTTTTCTTTGTGCTATCAGTGTGATTGTTTCGGCCTCAAAGATGCTGATTGTCGTCCATTTGGCTCAAAAATTGAGAAGAAAGAGAGAAAGAGAGAGAGAGAGACACATCTGAGGAATATATATTTATATATCAGTTACATAAACATATATATACTCTCATAATGTGTGTGTGTGAGAGAAAGAGAAAGAAAGAGAGAGTGTGTAGAGTTAAAGTTGGTCGTCCAGCTCTGGCTCCGCCTCTCTCTTCTCTCTCAGCCAATCATCAGACATTCCTGGGTGGAGGTTCAGCCACATGTCCTCTAGTCCTGCAGGGGCCAATCATGTTCCAGAGTGGGCACCATAAATCGGCTGCGAGAGAAACAGAAGAGAGAGAGAGAGACGCAAATCACCGAGAGATTCAGTAAAGACTCGTTCACTGCGGTATTCAGCAGAGACTGAAAGCGGATCATTAAAGGGGTAGTTCACACGGACATCTATTATTATTTACTTATACGCACTTCTCTTTACTCTTTTAAACACTAAAGAAGACATTCTAAAGAATGCTAAAAACTGGTAACCATTGATCTCCATAGAAAGAAAAACAAAGGGAAGTCAATGGATACAGGTTTTCAACATTCTTCTAAATATCTTCTGTAGTGTTCAGCCAACTTATAAAGGTTTATAACCATTTGTAGCTATAGCTACTGTTATAGTTATTGCTATAGTTGTCGTTAGTTATCACTATAGTTGTTGCTATGGTTATGGTTATAGTTATTGCTTAAGTTGTCGTTAGTTATTACTATAGTTACAGTTACAGTTAATGCTATAGTTGTTGTTATTTATCACTATAGTTGTTGCTATGGTTACGGTTATAGTTATCGCTATGGTTATCGCTATAGTTGTTGCTATGGTTACGGTTGTAGTTATTGCTATAGTTGTCGTTAGTTATCACTATAGTTGTTGCTATGGTTACGGTTATAGTTATTGCTATAGTTGTCGTTAGTCATTACTATAGTTAAAGTTACAGTTAATGCTATAGTTGTTGTTATTTATCACTATAGTTGTTGCTATGGTTACGGTAATAGTTATCGCTATAGTTGTTGCTATGGTTACGGTTATAGTTATTGCTATAGTTGTCGTTAGTTATCACTATAGTTGTTGCTATAGTTACTGTTATAGTAATTGCTATAGTTGTCGTTATTATATATTAAATTTGTTGCTATAGTTACACTTACAGTTATCGCTATAGTTGTTGCTATGGTTACGGTTATAGTTATTGCTATAGTTGTCGTTAGTTATCGCTATAGTTGTTGCTATAGTTACTGTTATAGTAATTGCTATAGTTGTCGTTATTATATATTAAATTTGTTGCTATAGTTACACTTACAGTTATCGCTATAGTTGTGGGACAGTAAAATATATATATATTTAAATATTCATTTTTTGCATGAACCATCCCCTTAAATGCACATGTGATAGACAGAACAGCATGACGTGCAGAAAGACGTGAATAAATGATGACAGAATTATGATGACCAGTAATAATAACAACATGATGAGATGAGGGAAAACAGATAAGAGGACAGATCTTATTATGTCATTGTCCATCATCCAATCACAGGCTTTCTGTGCTGTGACTGCCAGCCAATCAGAAGCCAGCGCTGGACATGCAACTATCACTGATTCATCAGACACACATACTTGTTTATATGGTTTAAGAGGACTCAGCCTAGTATTTTAGAGTGTTATATGGCCCTCCCCATAAACCAAACCTCACAGCAAACCTATAGGAAAATGATTTATGTCAACAAAACACGCTAGCATGATTCTAGACATTATGAATTACAAGGACACAACCCATGTCCTCATAAACCATCTTAATAGAGCACAACTAGATCATGCTCAAGTCATTATACACATTTCTGTCCCCGTAAACCACAGAAACAAGTACACACACAGAGCGTCTTCAGTTCATCACAACATTATACAGTGTTTTACATCACAGTCTCTGCTTTAATAATCCCACAGTGGAGTGATAACAGTCATATCATCAGAAACAGCTTCAGTCACACGGCCAATGATTAAAACAATGACAGCCAATCAGAGTCCATCCTGCTTTGAAGAGAAACTGTCACAGAGGTTATCATCCGCTGCTGTGGATGGTGTGGTTATTATAGTTCCTATAACAGTAGTGGTTAGCACTGGTTTAATGTTCCCATTATAGTGATCAAAATATTTACCAGTGCAGTTATGGATAGTATGATCACCATAAGTCACAGTATAATATAGTTATTGCTGTAATAACTTGCTATAAACACTGTCAATTATTACTATATTCACTGTTTTAGTTATTCATAGTTAGTGTTCTAGCTGTTGCTATAGTAACTGTTGTAGATATTGCTACATTTACCTTTATAGTTATAACTATAGATAATCACCATAGTTACTGTAATAGTTATCGTTACATTTACTGATAATTATACATCAGTTTATTGCCATAGTTCCTGTTGTAGTTATCAGTTCCGTTTTCACTAGTTACTACTATAGTTTCAGTTATAGTTATTACAGTAGTTACTGTTCCATGTATTGCTAGTTACTGAGATATTTGTGATAGTTATTACTATAAATACTGTAAATAATTACACTCGCTACTGTTCTAGCTATCTCTATAGTAGTTACTCTATAGTAACTATAACAACTACACCTATAACAGTAACTAGCAATATCTATTACAGTAATTATTGCAACAGCTAGCACTAACTGTAATGATCAAGATAACAGTTGATATGGTGATAACTATAGGAATAGCTTGTACTACCCTTACCATTATTGCTATAGTTACTATTATAGTTATTGCTACAGCTACAAATATAGTTATTGCTAGTTACTGTTATTGCTATAATTATCGTTACAGATTTTGCTACACTTACTGTTACGATAGCTGATGTTATAGTTATAATTAATGCGATAGAAACTATTATAGTTATCGCAGCCGATATCGTCAACTTATAGTTATCACTATACATACAGATAAAGTTATGTAGTTATAGTTACTGTTAGTGCTGTAGTTGTTACAGTTGTGATTGTTATCGCAGTATGAACTGTTGTAGTTTTCTCCATAGAAACAGACATAGTTATCGTTATAGTTACTGTTATATTTATAGCAACAAATATTGTTATAGTTATCACTATAGTTATCGCTACAGTTACTGTTATAGTTATTGCTATAGTTGTCGTTAGTTATCGCTATAGTTGTTGCTATAGTTACTGTAATAGTTATTGCTATATTTACTGTTATAGTTATTGCTATAGTTGTCGTTAGTTATCACTATAGTTGTTGCTATAGTTACTGTAATAGTTATTGCTATATTTACTGTTATAGTTATTGCTATAGTTGTCGTTAGTTATCACTATAGTTGTTGCTATAGTTACTGTTATAGTTATTGCTATATTTACTGTTATAGTTATTGCTATAGTTGTCGTTAGTTATCACTATAGTTGTTGCTATAGTTACTGTAATAATTATTGCTATATTTACTGTTATAGTTATTGCTATAGTTGTCGTTAGTTATCACTATAGTTGTTGCTATAGTTACTGTAATAGTTATTGCTATATTTACTGTTATAGTTATTGCTATAGTTGTCGTTAGTTATCACTATAGTTGTTGCTATAGTTACTGTTATAGTTATTGCTATATTTACTGTTATAGTTATTGCTATAGTTGTCGTTAGTTATCACTATAGTTGTTGCTATAGTTACTGTAATAATTATTGCTATATTTACTGTTATAGTTATTGCTATAGTTGTCGTTAGTTATCACTATAGTTGTTGCTATAGTTACTGTAATAGTTATTGCTATATTTACTGTTATAGTTATTGCTATAGTTGTCGTTAGTTATCACTATAGTTGTTGCTATAGTTACTGTTATAGTTATTGCTATATTTACTGTTATAGTTATTGCTATAGTTGTCGTTAGTTATCACTATAGTTGTTGGTATAGTTACTGTTATAGTTATTGCTATAGTTGTCGTTAGTTATCACTATAGTTGTTGCTATATCTACTGTAATAGTTATTGCTATATTTACTGTTATAGTTATTGCTATAGTTGTCGTTAGTTATCACTATAGTTGTTGCTATAGTTACTGTAATAATTATTGCTATATTTACTGTTATAGTTATTGCTATAGTTGTCGTTAGTTATCACTATAGTTGTTGCTATAGTTACTGTAATAGTTATTGCTATATTTACTGTTATAGTTATTGCTATAGTTGTCGTTAGTTATCACTATAGTTGTTGCTATAGTTACTGTTATAGTTATTGCTATATTTACTGTTATAGTTATTGCTATAGTTGTCGTTAGTTATCGCTATAGTTGTTGCTATAGTTACTGTTATAGTTATTGCTATAGTTGTCGTTAGTTATCACTATAGTTGTTGCTATAGTTACTGTAATAGTTATTGCTATTTTTACTGTTATAGTTATTGCTATAGTTGTCGTTTGTTATCACTATAGTTGTTGCTATAGTTACTTCTATAGTTATTGCTATATTTACTGTTATAGTTATTGCTATAGTTGTCGTTAGTTATCACTATAGTTGTTGGTATAGTTACTGTTATAGTTATTGCTATAGTTGTCGTTAGTTATCACTATAGTTGTTGCTATAGTTACTGTTATAGTTATTGCTATATTTACTGTTATAGTTATTGCTATAGTTGTCGTTAGTTATCACTATAGTTGTTGCTATAGTTACTGTTATAGTTATTGCTATATTTACTGTTATAGTTATTGCTATAGTTGTCGTTAGTTATCACTATAGTTGTTGGTATAGTTACTGTTATAGTTATTGCTATAGTTGTCGTTAGTTATCACTATAGTTGTTGGTATAGTTACTGTTATAGTTATTGCTATAGTTGTCGTTTGTTATCACTATAGTTGTTGCTATAGTTACTGTTATAGTTATTGCTATATTTACTGTTATAGTTATTGCTATAGTTGTCGTTAGTTATCACTATAGTTGTTGGTATAGTTACTGTTATAGTTATTGCTATAGTTGTCGTTAGTTATCACTATAGTTGTTGCTATATCTACTGTTATAGTTATTGCTATATTTACTGTTATAGTTATTGCTATAGTTGTCGTTAGTTATCGCTATAGTTACTGTTATTGTTATTGCTAAAGTTGTCGTTAGTTATCGCTATAGTTGTTGGTATAGTTACTGTTATTGTTATTGCTATAGTTGTTGTTATCATATATTATAGTTGTTGCTATAGTTACTGTTATAGTTAATGCTTTAGTTGTGGCTAGAAGATGCTAATGGCCCCTATTGTATCCATGTTATGGTTATCACTATAGTCATCACTATAGTTACCATGCGGTCGTCATCACTACAGATACCTCAGCTATGTACACAGGCATGAGAGATGAGTGATGAGTTGAGGAGCAGCTGAGAGTCTGCTGGTGTGTGGGACAGACAGACCTGTTCTGTGAATATTCTGGTTTTGAGGTCAGGCATTCCACTTCCCCTCAGCTCATCCTCTACCGCCATCAACCTGCAACACACACACACACATTCCCAGAATGCTCTGCTGCTGTGAGGCTGGGGTGTGGCGCGGGGTCACGCGTCTGACCTGTTGATGATGCCCTTGATCTGCGAGTCCTTCTCCACCTGCTGCTGCCGCAGGCGCCTCTCGCTGTCGTCCAGCCGGCTCTGGTACTGCAGCAGAATCTTGCTGGTCTGCTGCTCCTGCGAGTGTAGCCGTCGCTCGTACTCCTCCAGCTTACGGTGGGACATCATCAGACGCTCCTTCAGGGAGTTGATCTCCTCCTCGTACTCACGCACCTGCAGAGTGATTATGCAAAATGTTATAGTTATTGCTATAGTTACTGTCATAGTTATCGCTATATTTGTTGCTATAGTTACTGTTTTAGTTATTGCTATAGTTACTGTCATAGTTATCGCTATAGTTGTTGCTATAGTTACTGTTATAGTTATTGCTATACTTACTATAGTGATAGTCGTTAGTTATCACTATAGTTATCGCTATAGTTACTGTTAGTTATCGCTATAGTTACTGTTAGTTATCGCTATAGTTACTGTTAGTTATCGCTATAGTTAATGTTAGTTATCGCTATAGTTACTGTTAGTTATCACTATAGTTATCGCTATAGTTACTGTTAGTTATCGCTATAGTTACTGTTAGTTATCGCTATAGTTACTGTTATAGTTATCGCTATAGTTGTTGCTATAGTTACTGTTAGAGTTATTGCTATACTTGTCGTTAGTTATCACTATAGTTGTTGCTATAGTTACTGTTATAGTTATTGCTATAGTTGTCGTTAGTTATCACTATAGTTGTTGCTATAGTTACTGTTATAGTTATTGTTACAGTTGTCGTTAGTTATCACTATAGTTGTTGCTATAGTTACTGTTATAGTTATTGCTATAGTTGTCGTTAGTTATCACTATAGTTGTTGCTATAGTTACTGTTATAGTTATTGCTATAGTTGTCGTTAGTTATCACTATAGTTGTTGCTATAGTTACTGTTATAGTTATTGCTATAGTTGTCGTTAGTTATCACTATAGTTGTTGCTATAGTTACTGTTATAGTTATTGCTATAGTTGTCGTTAGTTATCACTATAGTTGTTGCTATAGTTACTGTTATAGTTGCTATAGTTGTCGTTAGTTATCACTATAGTTGTTGCTATAGTTACTGTTATAGTTATTGCTATAGTTGTCGTTAGTTATCACTATAGTTGTTGCTATAGTTACTGTTATAGTTATTGCTATAGTTGTCGTTAGTTATCACTATAGTTGTTGCTATAGTTACTGTTATAGTTATTGCTATAGTTGTCGTTAGTTATCACTATAGTTGTTGCTATAGTTACTGTTATAGTTGCTATAGTTGTCGTTAGTTATCACTATAGTTGTTGCTATAGTTACTGTTATAGTTATTGCTATAGTTGTCGTTAGTTATCGCTAGTTTTTTGCTATAGTTACTGTTAAAGTTATTGGTATAGTTGTCGTTAGTTATCACTATAGTTATCGCTATAGTTACTGTTAGTTATTGCTTTAGTTGTCGTTAATTATCACTATAGTTGTTGTTAGTTATCACTATAGTTACTGTTATAGTTATAGCTAAAGTTGTCGTTATTTATCACTTTATTTGTTGCTATAGTTACTGTTATAGTTATCACTCTAGTTGTTGCTATAGTTACTGTTATAGTTATTGCTATAGTTGTCGTTAGTTATCATAATAGTTGTTGCTATATTTTAAATGTCTGGAACTAAATCTATAGCGCCACCAGCAGACCAAATATGCAACATTTAAACTGTTATAACTTGAACCATTTGACCTAGAAAAATAAAGTGTGTGTGTGTGTGTGTGTGTGTGTGTGTGTGTGCAGCACTGACCCGGTCCAGGCGGGACTCATCCATGCTCTTGGAGTGCTCCTTGAGTTTGAACTCCTCTCTGTCCACGCGCAGACTCTCGATGTCTGCAGACAGATGTGGCATGTTGGAGACCCAGGCCACGGTGCGCTCGGAGGCTGCAGAGGTGGGGTTCAGGGTGGAGGGAGACTTAGAGCCCTGAGACACACACACACAACATCAGCACAACACACACACACATCTGCAGAATATAGGTGGTAATGTATGGGTGTGTCTGTTCAAGTCAGAGTGTGTGTGAATATGCATGTGTGTTTGAATCTGACAGTGTATGTGTAAGTCTGATTGTGTGTTTTCAAATGTGTGTGTGTGTGAGTACCTGTTTGTTCCCGGATGGCTTGAGCAGGTGTTGTTGGTTGCTCTGCTGTGTGTTTTTTGCTGATTGGTTGGTCGGCGTATTCTCTGTGCTCTCATTGGCTGCGCTCTGAGGAGCGGGATTCTCCGACGCATTGCTGGACTGATGCGGCAACCCGGGGGCGGGGCTGTCCTTGACTGACAGCTGCTGCCTTGTCAACTGCCTCCCTCCAAAACTAGACTCAGGCGATTGGAGGAGGTTGCCGCTCTGTGGGCGGGTCTTAGGGGGGGTGGAGTTTACAGCCGAGCTGACGGACAGCTGGTGGGCGGGCTGAGGCTTCGCGCGTTGAGGAGGGGGCGGAGCCATGGAGGCCTGACGGACAGGATGAATGGTGGTGGGAGGTGTGGCCAGAGAAGCAGGAGTGCCGGTGCCTGTGGCCGTCTGCGGGGTCATTCCCATCAGCACCTGCTGCTGGAGATTCTCCTGAATAGGAATAGTATTGAAGTAGGATATATTAATAGTAGGAAATGTGTTGAAGAAAATTGGGGGAAAATATAAAAGAATTCATATTTAATGGGAGGTTGAATAATTCTGACTTTATCTGTGTGTGTTTGTGTGTGTGTCAGTTTACCTGCACCTGCAGAGACAGCTGTCTGCGGGCGTAGTCGGCCTGGTTGTGTCGTGTGAAGTCGTCGCTGTAGCTGTGCGAGTGCACGATGTTGGGCTGCACCAGACTGTTCTGCGTCCGCAGCGCTGACAGATCTTCACTGCGGGAGAACCCACTGTGGGCGAATGTGGGAACGCCGAAACCCACATGCCCGTTCTCTGGCTCGGGCGCCAGCAGCAGCGGTGGCGGTACAGCAGTGGGCCCGTGTGGAGGTGTGTGATACTGCGGCCCATCTGATGCTAGGTGGAACAGAGGGTTCTGGAAGGACAGCGGCACGTGCATGGCGGCGGCGGCCTGCTGTTGCTGCTGCGACAGAGAGTCTGTGGTCAAACGCAGACCGCCAGACATGCTGGAGCCGCCCGAGCCCGCAGACACGCGTCCTCCAGCCCTGAGGGGGGCACCGCCGAGCGGACCGAACCCAGCCAGAGAACCCTGAGACGAGTTCAGCAGATCATTCACTGAGTGCAGGTTAGACACGCTGTTGATGCGCGAGTCCTGCAGGTCCATCATAGACACACTCTTATTGACGCTGAGTACCTGAGGAGAAACACACACACTGTAACCACACACTCAGGGGTTGAGAGGACTGGCTATACAGTCTGTACTGCAGAAACATCATTATGCTGTGGCGAGTCCCCATAAGACACGAAAACACAACATGTGTGTGTGTGTGTGTGTGTGTTGAGTGCATGTCTGCATGTGTGTGTGTGAGAGTGAGTGCGAGAATATGTATGAATGTGTGTCTGTGTGTGTGTGTGTGTGTGTGCACCTTGGGGTCTGGCTCAGTGATGTCAGAGCTGCTGGTGCAGTAGGCGGGGCTTGAGCGTGCGAGAGGTGGGCGGGTCACATAGAAGACGTCTTTGTTGCCGCGGGGATCTCGCTCTGAGAACGCAGCCATGCCCGGGTGAGAGAGAACACCGCTGCCGGACAGACCGGCTGTAGGAGACGGCAGTCGAGAGATGTCTATGGAGCTGCACACACACACACACACACATGTGCATGAGCATCGGTCTGATCAATCCACCGCCACACTCAGTAGTTCACTTGACCAAATTAGAGATGCACAGAAGTGATCATTCTGGACCGAAACCAACAATTCTGGACACACTTGAACAAAAACCGAAACCAATAATGCTCTGTAATAATTACATCCAATAATATATAAGTCGTTCTGTAAGACAATTGAAATTTTGTTGCCATGACAACACAACAGCAATATTGCCAACAGCAGGAACTAGCATACTACACATGCTAGGCAAGTTTTGTCCAACAGTTAACATTTAATCATCATCCCTGCATAGTGACTGGGCTTTCACACCGGACGCGGAACACTCTGCGCTATGAAACCCATTCATTACAATGGCCTGTGCTGTGCAAGAGCAGCTTGATGAAGCCCTATTTCAGCTCATACCTTCAGCTGTTCAAGCTGAAAATTCAGTGCAGCCCTAACAGAACAGAACAGACAGACAGACAGACAGACAGACAGACAGACACACAGACCTGTTGAGGTCTCTCATCATGAGGCTCTGGAAGTCATTGGTGGCGAGTCTGCTGAACGCAGGCCGGCTCAGGTGTCGCTCGGGTGGCTGGTGGCTGGCCTGTCTGTGCAGCTGAGGGTTACGCAGGGCCACACTGATGTCATTCAGCAGCCGCGGCAGAGGACCCAGCTTCAGGATCGCATCCTACACACACAAGCATAGTATTAGCATTTCAGATGGTCTGGGATGACTCTGCAGGACAGGACATCTGCATAATATCAACAAGCATGATCAATTCAATAAAGAAAGATTTATTTATAGGTAAATATATGTCATATATGTCGATGTGGTGGCGGAGAGGGTAGTGCTGTCGCCTCACAGCAAGAAGGTCACTGGTTCAAGCCTCGGCTGGGTCAGTTGGTGTTTCTGTGTGGAGTTTGCATGTTCTCCCTGTGTTCCTCCGGGTGCTCCGGTTTCCCTCACAGTCTAAAGATATGGGGTATAGGGGGATTGGCTAGACTAAATTGTCCACTGTGTAAAAACATGCTGGAATAGTTGGCGGTTCATTCCACTGTGGCGACCCTGGATTAATAAAGGGACTAAGCCGAAAAGAAAATGAATGAATGAATGAATGAATATGTCATAAAGGGCGGCGTGGTGGCAAAGTGGGTAGTGCTGTCGTCTCACAGCAAGAAGTGCACTGGCTAGGTCAGTGGCCGGTTTCTGTGAGGGTAGCAGTCTTTAAACCCCAGTTTCTTTGCAAATCCTGTTCTGTAGATGTGTTAATACGGTTCTGTCAATCCGTTCTGTGGGCGGGCAAACCGCACCCCTGCACTACGCTGCAGTGGCCCTCAAAATCTCTAGGATTCGGACCATTTTTTATCAACAGGAGACTTATTGTGTTTCTATCACTCCAGTATGTGTATGAACACTATACTACACACAGCTCTGTCCAAACAGCTGACACACGTGGATTCGACACCCCTAGTTTTGGTCAATATTGTGATAATACTCTATACTGTGGTAAAAGCTTCCACAATTCATCACAACAACAGAATACACAGCAGATCTGCAGCGTTCGCACCTTGCTGAGCTGGGCCATGACCTCCCACAGCAGACTGTGCAGGATGGAGAGCTCGCGGCCCAGGTCGATGTAGCCCTCGAACGCCCCGGCGTTACTCACACACTCCAGATTGGAGATCTCGTAGAGGAACTGCTGCATGGAGCCCCACTCCATCTCCAGAAACTCATTCATGAAGCCCAGATAGTCCTCCTTCCCACTGAACCTGCCCAGAGCACGCGCACACACACACACACACCGCAGTGTGGGAGAGAGACAGAGGCAGAGAGAGAGAGTGTGTGTGTGTGTGTGAAAGAGAGAGAGAAAAAAGCAAGTTTGTGTGTAAAGGGAAGCGAGAGATGATAGAAAAAGAGTGTGTAAAAGAAAGAGTGTGTGTGTGAGAAAAATAGAGACAGAGAGAGAGAGAGAGAGAGAGAGGGAGAGACAGGACAGATGGATAGAGGGAGAGAGTGACGGGCGACAGACAGACAGAAAGAAAGATGATAAGTGACGAGTCAACAGACTGAAGATAACTCTAAACAAAAAAGACAACACAAGACAGAGGAACCCTGAGATATAAACACACACACACACACACACACACACACACACACACACATTAAAGTGACAGTACACCCCTAATTGAAAACGTCCTGGTGATTTACTCCCGCACATCTTGACTCCTGCCTCTTACATCTTGAGTTTCTGGGTGAACTATCCCTTTAACAACTACAGCAACACAAACACACACAGCTGACAAACACACACGATACACACACACTGAAATAAGACTTAAGTTACACACACCTAACTTAAATTAGTCCGTAGTGAATAAATAAAGAAGTAAAACTCTATTAAAACTACATATTTATTTTAAAACAAAAGAAAAATAAACAAATATTAACAAATAAACACATAAAAAAATGACAGATGAAAAATAAAGAGCATAATGAAGCTCAACAGTTCATCACAGACACAGGAAGAGTCACTGGTGCGACACCTAAATACATATGGAAATGAGAATGGGCGTGTCTGTGATGATGATTGACAGGTGTGTCTCACTTTCATGTGATGATTGGTGGGTTGGAAAATGGGTGTGGCCTTAGTGTCAAGTGATGCGTGGCGAGTCAGGCAGTGGGTGTGGCCTGAGTGCAATTTGATGAGTGAAGGATCAGACAGTGGGTGTGGCCAGAGTGCTAGTGATGAGTGACGGGTCAGACAGTGGGTGTGGCCTGAGTGTCATGAGATAAGTGGCGGGTCAAACAGTGGGCGTGTCTGAGTGTCATGAGATGAGTGGCGGGTCAAACAGTGGGCGTGTCTGAGTGTCATGTGATGAGTGGTGGGTCAGACAGTGGGTGTGGCCTTAGTGTCATGTGATGAGTAGTGGGTCAGACAATAGGTGTGGTCTTAGTGTCATGTGATGAGTGGTGGGTCAGACAGTGGGTGTGGCCTGAGAGTCATGAGATGAGTGGCGGGTCAAACAGTGGGTGTGGCCTTAGTGTCATGTAATGAGTAGCAGGTCAGACAGTGGGTGTGGCCTTAGTGTCATGTGATGAGTGGTGGGTCAGACAGTGGGTGTGGCCTGAGTGTCATGTAAGGAAAGGTGTGTCAGACAGTGGGCGCAGCCTGAGTGTCATGTGAGTGACAGGTCATACTGTGGGTGTGGCCAGTGTCATGTGATAATTAATCTGGTCAGATAGTAGGCGTGGCCTCAGTATCATGCGATGAGTGGCAGGTCAGACAGTGGGTGTGGCCTAAGTGTCACGTGATAATTAATCTGGTCAGTCAGTGGGCTTGGCCTGAGTCTCATGTGATTAGTGGTGGGTCAGACAGTGGGTGTGGCCTATGTGATGAGTGGCAAGTCAGACAGTGGGCGTGGCCTATGTGATGAATGACGGGTCATACCGTGGGCGTGGCCTATGTGATGCCTGACGGGTCACACAGTGGCCGTGGCCTATGTGAAAAGTGACAGGTCAGACAGTGGGTGTGGCCTATATGATGAGTGGTGAGTCAGACCGTGGGCGTGGCCTATGTGATGAGTGACAGGTCAGACAGTGGGTGTGGCCAATATGATGAGTGGCGGTCAGAGCTGTGATCGGCGCGGCTGAATGACGGTGGACTCTAGTGACTGACTTTGAAAAGCTGGCCAGGCTCTGCACCACCTTGGCGATGAGCGTGAGGGTTCGAGAGGTGCGCTCGGAGGGATACTCCTGCGTCAGGTTGAAGAGGGACGGGGACATGATCGCCGGACACAGGAAGCGCAGGAAGAGCGAGGAGCTGATGAGGCGGTCGGCGATGTCCTCTCGGCCGCGCTCAGCACAGCGCACACGCCACGACGCAAACACCTCCTTCAGCTCACGGGGAAACACGCTGCACACACACACACACACACACACATCCCATAATGCACCAGGAGAACACTTCTATTTCTCTGTTGATGATCTATTGATCTCTGTGTAAATAAATAATCGATCGCTTCACTGCAACACGTGTGTTTACTGATTATTAGTTAAAGTTGAGTGTGCTCATGTCAGATGAAGCCCAGCGTTCATAAATATTCAGACTTGTTAAATGAGTGCTGTTCTCAGCTGCCTGCTCTCCTGAACTGAGGCAATGTTAGGGTTTGAGCTCCCCCTGCTGGACTAATGCAGCTCAACGCTCTGAGAACACAGATCTACTGTACTGATGCTTCCTGGACACTTTCACTCTACAGGGTATAGACAGAACTTCTGCAGTTGAATTTAATATCTTTCACTACCTTTTTAAAAACAATATTTAATAGCAGCACGACGAAACTGAAATATCTTTCCAAATGGAGTAACATTGCAGAGAACATGAAGGTTTAAGTAAAGCAGAGGGATTCATCCTCCTTTGTCCATGCTTTTTAATCGATGTCATATATGTCATCAATGTCAATAGCCGCTCTTCTAAGAACAGTTCAGCAGTAGGAAATATAGATTTAGCACTGGTGTTTTTATACGCACGTCAATTTAATAAGTAATATTTCTGCTACAAAAACAAACTAAATCCTGCAATCCAGATCTGAAAGCTGCAGAGCAGTCATCAGAAACTAAACAGAGGAACAATAAACATCTCAAGCAAAAACAGATTAAGGAAAGGAAGAAGAGGCTCCCTTCTGCACTGTTTAAGGTTTGGGTTTGTGTAAGTGCTCAGTCTCGCTATGCGCTGATTTACATGTCTCAGTGGAATAAAGCAGGCGAGTCAGCTGACCCGATATATGAGCAGGCGGAGCAGGATTCTCCCGATGACCAGCAGCGCAATACTGTTCAGTCATGAGTGGCAGATTCAGTGTTAACTCAGTAAAGGCGAGCGTATCTGGCAATGATGATCACAGTGTTCGAGTTTACATTTAGCGGATTTCACTGAAAACACTGGGCTGATTTCAGCTGGCGGATCAACATTCACCACAGGATCGCTGTCATCAGCGCCGTTAACCTGTGTACTTTTTGCATTTCCAGTGGTCACAGAAGCTCCGTCATCTGACAGCGGAGAGCCCTGAGTGATTGACTGCTAATATAACCAATATAGCGGCGGGGCAGAGCAGATCCGCATGTCTATTGGAGAAATCTGATCATATGCTGTCGCACAAATGCTTCCAAATATATTAGGAGGTCGCGTAGATTACAGGTCGAGAGCTTATGGAGCACAGCCCTGGTGTGTTGACGTCGCGACTCTGTTGCCAAGCTCCCACACCACCTCACAGGATATCGCTCAGGTCCTGCTCTCAACATATAAACAGATCCACACACACCTCAGCATACAGACCAGCACTGAACACTAATGAACATCAGCTAATGCACTGGTCTGGGGAATGTACAGTCCTCATCAGATGACGCTAACATTGGTTAATGCCCTTAATTCAGGCTAACTTCATTTACTAAATTTTACAACCCCTCAGACACCCTGATCTACAGAGGATAATCACTGAAGCCTCGTCCAGTTAAACAACATGACATTAGCTGATCTGTTAATCGGCGCAGCGGTGATTTATCAGAAATATCATGCAAATACCCAACAAACCACTGTAGAACAGGTTTAAAATAAATGCTTGAAGATTCTTCAGTTCAGCAGTAAACCCTGTGGTCATCAGGTCATGCTGAGTGTTGTTTGTTGTGCACTGACCAGTGAGAGTTGATGATCTTGCAGAGCGCTAGCTCACAGCACATGCGCAGGTTAGCCTGATGATCGGCCAGCACTGACGGAGGCGTTCGCATCGGGTCCACCTCACAGTTCTCCTCAGACTCGTACAGCGCACGGATGAACTCTCCTGCACACACACACACACACACATTCACCAGCAGCAGCTTCATCATCATCATCATCAACATCATCATCACTTCATTACACATACACACACACACACACTGCACTTCTACATCTCCACGCTCCTTCACTCTTTCTCATTTATCAGCCGTTTTCCTCCTGGAGACTAAAAACAATCAACACACGCTCATCATATACTGCTATTGCTATACTTGTGGGGACATTAGGTCCTCATAACATGAAGAATACCAGGATCTCTCACACACACACACACACACATACACTCACTCACTCCCACGCACATGCACTCTCACACACACATGCATTGACACTCACTCACTGAGTCACACACACACACATGCATGCACACGAACACTTAGACACACACAGACACACAGACACACACACCCTCACCGATGGTGTCCTTCAGGTAGCGGTGTGCGATGAGCTTCAGGAACTCCTCGATGGCTTTAGTGGCGAGAGTGTTTTCTCTGAAGATCAGATGCTCACGGTCCATGAAACGATCCACCTCACACATGGCCATGTCAGACAGGAAGTCCTGAACACACACACATGCACACACACACACACAGCGGTCAGTGAAATTTAGTGACTTTTATGAGCGTGTGTGCTCCGGTTTCCCCCACAGTCCAAACACATGCGCTATAGGGGAACTGATCAACTACACTGGCCATAGTGTATGAGTGTGAATGAGTGTGTATGGGTGTTTCCCAGTACTGGGTTGCAGCTGGAAGCACATCTGCTGTGTAAAACATATGCTGTGTGATGAAAAGAGAGTGTGTGTGTGATGGAGTGTGTGTGCTGACCTTGGCCTTCCCAGTGCTCTGCAGGATGTGCACTAGCGCGCAGGCCACCTCCTCTTTGCTCTTGGCGCTGAGCAGCGGCTCCAGCACTCCGCAGAGCGTGCGGTAGTTGTTGGTGACGTACTCGGCGAACTCCTTGTAGAGCTCCATGGGCAGGATGTTCATGCTCTGGAAGCGGGACTTGAGGCGCAGCGAGGCGTTGATGATCTTCCCCCCGCCGCCGCCGCCTTTAGCCAGAACACTGGGCTGGATGAGCGGGTACCACTGCTCCACAAACTGACGACCCGTCACGCTCGGGATCGGGATGCTGACCAGACCCAGATACGTGCTCTTCTCCTGCACACACACACACATGATCACTCTCACGCACACACACGTTCGGGAGGCAGCGTGTACACTTGCGCGCGAGCAGAGCTACCTTCCTCCTCTTCTTGTCGTTCTCCTTGTAGAGGTGCAGTCGGAGGCTGCGGATGGCCGGCAGGTTGTTGAACTCGAAGTGTTCGCCCCAGAAGACGGTGTCGGTGCGCGGTTTGCTGGTGGTTCGAGCGTACAGCATGTCGTCCAGACACAGCTCGCAGTAGTAGCGCTTCTTCGGTGGCAGATCTCGAGCCTCGATGATCCATAACTTCAGCACGTTATCCACACGACGACTGTTGTCCTGCACACACACACACACACACACACGTTTCACAACAGAACACAACACAATTCCTGTTCAACCTTTACATGCTTCCACTGAGCCGAATAATGAGACAGAAGTGTGTGTGTGTGTGTGTGTGTGTGTGTGTGTGTGAGCTGTTTGTTTAGTACCTTGTTTGGTTTGACGGCTCGCTGCAGATTCTCGATCCATTTGTCTCTCTCAGCAGCGGAGCGGCAGGCGAAACACTTGGTTCCTGACGCCGTGGTCACCTGAAGACGGAGATCATACAACATCATACTATTAATAAATGATCCAGTGTTTAGCTCTGTGTCATTCCTGAACGCAATTACTGAATAGAGCAAACAGCGTTACACAGAAGTGATGAGCAAAAGGGGACAGTCTTCACTGACTACACAGGGCAGCGTTACACACTGAAGTGGACGAGGGATGAATGTCCCGCTGCTCTGCTGTTTGAGAAGGTTTGGATGATGATAATGAAGCTCTGATCTGCTCACAGGTGTGTACATGCATGAAGCCAGTGTCTGAGCACACACACACACACACACACACACACACACACACACACACACACACACACACACACACACACACACACACAGCACCTCGAAGCAGTACTCCTGGCCGAGGATGCTGGAGTGGACGGGTTTGATGATGGCGTCCTCGTCCAGCGTGAGGTCCAGAGCCTCGGCCGCGCTGCTCGGAGACAGCAGAGACTCATGAGAGTGAGACTCCTTAAAGCTCTGCATCAGACGCGTCCTGCACACACACACACACACACACGTGTTTCAGTATACTGTACACACTGTATATTCTGTCCTCTTCCACAACACTAAACCCACACACACACACCTGACATTTAATCAACACTTCAATAATTCTGGTCCCCACAAGGTGATGAATACCAGCCACACAGGTGCACACACACACACACACAAACACTCTTACACACACATATTTATGCACAAATGCGCACACACACTCACTCACAAACACATGCGTGCACACAAACATGCAAATACAAACTCTCACACACACATACTCTGTATACACACACATGCGCAAAACACACACGCACACACTTTCTCAGATACGCACACACGTTACACACAGACTCACACACATGCATGCATACACACTCTTTCTCACACACACTCTCTCTTGGACACAAACACACACACACACACATACATATGTATGCACAAACTCTCTCTCCCACACACACACACACACACACACACACACACACACTCGCACAGTTCTATATGTGCTGTACATCTCTGTGACTCACTGATGCACAATGGGAGAGTGAGTCACTGCATCACTGCAGTGTGTGTGTGTGTGTGTGTGTGTGTGTGTGTGTGTGTATTCGTACCTCTCCTGGTCAGCACTGCGGAATCGTGGGAGAATCATGTGGCGGAAGCTTCCCGTGCGGTCGAGTTTGGGTTGACTCTTTGCTCGTTTAATTGATCCTTTCAAGCGGCGGCTGAGAAAACTCTGTGAACACACACACACACACACACACACACACACACACACACACACACACACAGTGATGACAGTGTGAGAGCAGAGGATCTCCAGCAGAGGGCACTGTGAGTCAGTGATGCCATTCCTGGATCCAGTGAGTCACTGCAGCTGCTGCCCACGCCACACACTCTGACATCTGCAGCGCTGCGTGTGTGTGTGTGTGTGTATGTGTGGTATTTGTGTTTATATCTCTGCAGCACTGTATGTGTGTGTTTGTATGAGTATTTGAGTCTCTAACATCTGCAGCGCTGAGTGTGTGTGTGTGTGTATCTGTGTGTGTGTGTGTGTGTAGTAAGTGTTTTTGCATCTCTGACTTCTGCAGCGCAGTGTGTGTGAGTGACTGTGTCTGACTAGGTGTGTGTTTTTGTCTTGGACATCTGCAGAACTGCGTGTGTGTGTGTGTGTGAAGTAAAACAGCACTGCAGGCTGCTTCTCACTCAGGGCTGCAGTTTATGCTAATGAGGAAGAGATGGGCACTAGTGGGCGGGGCTACGATAATTGGTTATAGTGTATGTGTGTATAAGAATGAGTGTGTATGGGTGTTTCCCAGTACTGGGTTGCAGCTGGAAGAACATCTGTCGTGTAAACATATGCTGGAATAGTTGGTGGTTCAATCCGCTGTGGTGAACCCTCATAAATAAGGGACTAGGTCGAAGGTAAACCAATGAATGAATTATATATGCATCTGTACAATATCTATATCTGTAATATCATTTATTTATAAGTAATTAAAGTAAAGTTGTCATTGTTTAGACGATAGACACGTTTAATTAGATTTCATCCTTTAATTTTCATTCTCAGATTGTCCGGTAAGATCTGCGCTACCAGATTAGCTCTTCGCTCAATCAACAAACCTAATTAGCATGATTAATAATTGGCTTTAATCCTCATTCTCAAAAAGAAGTAAGTTTTGCGCTGTTAATCCCACACTGATATGCAGATGAGCAGTGATCATCTCATTAACACAGATATCCTCAATAAACGCAGCTCATATTCATCATGCTCCATTCCAGAGGAAGACGCTTGTGTTGGGTAAATCTGGCGGCATGAACATCACTACTACTGAAATATTCATCTTGATTTGGCTATAAATATTCAGGCACATCACTGGAGGATTGCAGGAGTTAAAGATCCACATTCACCACCAACAAACCCACATCCTGGAACGGGTTTATAAGGTCTACGCTGATCCAGAAGAGTGTATTCTGCCTTTCACATCACAAAACACTTCAATCTCTTCTAGAAAACACCACAATATCTTCACATTACATCCTTTATAAACATTAATGTCTGATTAATCTTCATTAAAAGAGCATTTTCTGACAGCAGACGGAGGTAAATGATGAACTCCAGATGAAGTGAGATATTAGTCAATGTTAGTTCAGGTGAGATACACTTCACCTCCTGTCCTGTGTGTGTTAGAAATGCTATTCTACAGTCTGTAACAATTAAGCAATGCTTTGTTTTGTTTTGTAAATGTATATAATATTTCAGTTATGAGATAATTAGCTTGTTTTGCAACATGTCTTGATAGGAGCTAACTAAAAACACCAACCCACACACAACACGACCGACCGAAACACCAGCCCAAAAATAAACCCTCAATCCTCTGCTGAAACATTTACCACAACACGTGATCCACACACACACACACACACACACGCACACACACTTAATCAGCTATCCAAATGAGGACATTCCAAGATAGGATAAATTCATTATAAACACTAAAACCAGACCCAAAGGGAAACACTCCCGCTTTAAGATCAATATATGAACATTGATTCACATGATTTCTTAATGGTTTTTGCACACAGGGACTCGTATGTAGACAATTTAGCTACACACACATTTCATTAGCTATCCGAATGAGGACATTACAAGAAAAAAAAAGAATTAATTAATAATAAACACTAAAACCAGACTCAAAAAGCTAAATATATTTGCTTTATAATCAATATAAACACGTTCATTTACATTATAACTTAATGGTTTTTCCAAATAAGGGACTCATAACACACACACACACACACACACACACACACACACACACACAGGTATGTCCCAGATGTCTCCAAGGTACTGTTTTGTCAGATTCAGTTCATTTTCTAAGACAAAATTGGCCCAAAACTGTAACGTGTCAGTAATACACACACACACACACACACACACACACGCTTACCTGAACATTAACGTAACCTACCTAAATGAAAGGCAGCAGCGGCAGCAGCAGAGTGTGTATGTGAGATTTATTATGAGGTTTATTAAGGCTCTTATTAATGATAGATTTGACTGTGTGCATGGATATTTGTGCAGAACTAGAAGCGTTTGAAGCAGATGCATCAAACAATTCACTTCATAACTCTCAGTCTGACAGATCTACAGATCTTTTGCCTGCAACAATTAAAGAAATAAGCTAATAATGAACATTTTTTGGCATTTATTTTACAAGAAAACACTCCTGCAGTCTGTTTATGCTTTATGTGATATTGTGAAGTTAATAGCCCCTTTCACACAGTGATACCGGAAAATATCCGGAAAATTTACGGAACGACTTTACCGGTATGTTCAAAAAAGCGCTGTTCACACAGGCGAGGACGTTACGGAAATTTTCCGGAAAAGAGCATTCACACATCCATTCCAAAATACCGGTAAATTCTGACATCATTCACCACAAATGAGCTGTAAACGGCTGCGCTTGTGTTTGTAAACATTTGACTAAATTACAAACTCTTTTGATGATCAATATTTTAAACAACTTTCACAGGATCATATTCGCATGTCGAGATGTTCATAATATGTGCGTGTGCTGACGCTCACAGGCTGTTTCACAGGCACACGCAAAGCTTGAAGGTAAACAAACAACGGCTTATCATAAGCATCTCATCGATGATTATTTACACAGTTGGCATTAAGATGAACATATAAACGTGATCTGACTAACTTCTAGCAGCTAAATGCGTCTGGAAAAATATTCAAAGGCTTTTATTCTCACAAACCGCGCGGACGTAAATGCGTCTGACTGTTGTGATTGGCTAAAGCAGAAGTCTTACGTCAGCACGTTCTAGACGTGCACGCGCTTATTCCGGAAATATTCCTTCTGCGTTCACACAGCGCAGCTTTCCGGCAAATTGCCGGTAATGTTATAACTTCTCTTTCCGGAAAATAGCCAGAACGAATTTACCGGTATTTTCAAAAAGGACCTGTTCACACATACAACCTTTCCGGAAAATTGCCGGTAATTTTCCGGAAAGGTCTGTATGTGTGAAAGGGGCTAATGTCTTATACTTCGTTTAATTTCTTTTTAATTATTTGTGGAATTTTCAAGCAATTTCTGCATTTAAAAAAATTGTTAAACCCCACATATATATCTCCACGTGTGGTCAAAATTTTCTAAAGTAAAGTTTCTTACATCGTGTCTGAACTACATGCCTACACTACACATAATAAAAGTGGTCTTCTCCATGTTTAAAGCAGCATTTCTCCTGATCATCTGCTACAGCGACGTGCAGAATGTCTATTTTAGACACCATTACATGACAGCACAAACTACTATAACAGAGATCTCCTCCTCAGGTACTGATTATGTGCTTTACTCTGTGTGAAATGCTGCCAATCTGAGTCTAAACGTCATCTTACGAGACGTTTATCGCCATACTGAACGCAGCAGCTGATAGTTCACCTCAGATCATCAAAATGAAATAACTAGCAGACTAGAAAAGTCAAAACTGTTAAATTAGTTCATTAGGTTTTAACGAGATTAAAATCCTCTGCAGTGGCTGGTTTGTAAATGTTCTGTCGTGTTGTGTTTAGTGCTGATAAATAGCTTGTTGTGTGTTGTTTGGACGTGGTATTTAGGGCACATGATTATGTTCTGGATATTAATATTCATGAGGGGGCGTGTATGCAGTGCACTGAACATCCAATAAGGAGAGAGAGGAGGCGTGTCTACTCACAGGCTGTCGAAATGGCTGTGTAGGGGCAGTGGGCGGAGTTTCCATGCTTCTCTGCCGCGACGTGGCAAAGCTCTTCCTGCGAGCACGAGCGTGCTCTAAAACACACACACACACACACACACACACACACACACACACACACACACACACACACACGGCAAAAATATTCATCAGAGTATTCAAGACATCACATTAGTTATTTAATAAAGCTACTGATGAGTAAATAAACATTACATTAGTGTAAAGACTGCACTGAAAAGATCAAACCAAAGCTTATCCATGAAACAAGCACATTTATAATAATATGATATATAATATCTGTCTCGGGAGAGGGCCCTGAGCTTAAGGCATCCTCGTGCCCAGGGCTCCCTCCTGTTCGCAGAGCGAGAGAGGAGCTTGAGCTCAGGTGGATCTCAAAAACTCCTCAACTGCAGCAGCTTAGGGAAACACTTGAGGAGGAAGGGAGCTAGACGAGTGCCAGATTTGTTCAATCTGTTATGTATTTTTTATATCTTTGGATGGTGTGAGGAAACCGGAGAATTGGGGGAAACCCACGCCAACATGGGGAGAACACACAAACAAAAAAATTTAATGAATGAGTTTATGGTTCATTCCGCTGTGGTGATCTCAGATTAATGAAGGGACTAAGCTGAAAAGAAAATGAATGAGTTGGTGGTTCATTCTGCTGTGGCGACCCCAGATTATTGAAGGGACTAAGCCGAAAAGAAAATGAACGAATGAATGAATGAGTTGACGGTTCATTCCGCTGGGGCAACCTTAGTTTATTGAAGGGACTAAGCCGAAAATGAATGAATTAATGAATGAATGAGTTGATGGTTCATTCCACTGTGGCCATCCCAGATTAATAAAGCAACTAAGCCGAAAAGAAAAATGAATGAATGAATTAATGAGTTGGCGATTCATTCCGCTGTGGCGACCTCCGATTATTAAAGGGACTAAGCCGAAAAGAAAATGAATGAATGAGTTGACGGTTCATTCTGCTGTGGCGAACCCAGATTAATAAAGCAACTAAGCCGAAAAGAAAATGAATGAATGAATGAATGGAGTTGGCGGTTCATTCCACTGTGGCAACCTCAGATTATTAAAGGGACTAAGCCGAAAAGAAAATGAATGAATGAGTTGACGGTTCATTCTGCTGTGGCGAACCCAGATTAATAAAGCAACTAAGCCGAAAAGAAAATTAATGAATGAATGAATGGAGTTGGCGGTTCATTCCACTGTGGCAACCTCAGATTATTAAAGGGACTAAGCCGAAAAGAAAATAAATGAAGGAATGAATAATTGACAGTTCATTCCGCTGTGGCCACACCAAATTAATAAAGCAACTAAGCCGAAAAGAAAATGAATGAATGAATGAGTTGACGGTTCATTCCGCTGTGGCCACCCCAGATTAATAAAGCAACTAAGCCGAAAAGAAAAGTGATGAATGAGTGAAATTCTGTCCACAACAGCCCAGAGTGTGTGGATATTGTGTCTGGCTCTGGCTATGATGCTGAACGCTGTAAAACAGGAGAATATCGACTCTGCACTAAAGTTCTGCTCCATCTGACAACACTGAGAGAGAGGAATAATTATTCACTCAGAGTCCACACACACACACACACACACACACACACACTGGCGGTGTCTCTCTGGGCTGTTGTCAGTGTTTTGTCTTGTTTTGTGGTGATTCATCCCTCAGGACAGCAAACCTTTACAGAACTTGCATTCCTGCTGCTATAAATACACACGCAGCCTCCATCTCCATCTCTCTTCAGTCCCACACACACACACACACTCATCACGCGCTCGCTCTCAGGATAATCACAGCAGAAATGAAGCCGGCGGGTTCAGCGTGATTATCCGGCTCTCCATCTCCTCTGGAAACCTCCACCCACTGCTCTCAGACGTGGAGAACACCTGGAGCTTTAAGAAACACTTGACCTGCAGCCGCTGGAGCTGATCTCCATCCTGCTCACCAGAGACAACTGAACACTGCAACCTCTATCAGCTCACAGATCAAACCTGCTGTCCTGTTACACATCCACCCAATCACATCCACCCACTCAGACAGTCTCCACCCCCTCAGTCTCCACATACTTATATAGTCTCCGCCTCCTCATCAGTGTCAAGCCGAAGTCCGTACACACTTACAGTCTCCACCCACTCATAGTCTCCAACCAAAGTACTTACAAAGTCTCCACCCACTCATTAATTTTCCACCCACTTGTACAGTCTCCACCTACTCATACAGTCTCCACCCACTCATACAGTCTTCAGTAACACATGCAGTCTTCACCCACTTAGTCTCCACCCAATCATACAGTCTCCACACACGTATGCACTCTCCACCTACTTAGTCTCCACTCACTCATAGTCTCCGCACAATCAGCCAGTCTCCACCCTTTTGAAAAGTTTTTACCTACTCATACAGTCTCCGCCCGCTCATAAAGTATACACCCACTCATTAAGACTTTACCCAATCGGCCAGTCTCCACCCCTCATACAGTCACCCTCCACTCAATATCGTTACACACAGACTCCACCCACTCATATAGTCACCACCCACTCAGCCAGTCTCCACCCACTCATTCAATTTCCATCCAGTCTTCACTTATAGTCATCACCACACCTTACAATCTCCAGCTATTCAGTCTCCACCCACACACGTCCTTACATAAACTCCACCCAATTAGCCAGGTTTAGAAAGTCTCCACCCACTTAAAAATTTACACCCACTCATAGTCTCCATCTAATTAAACAGCCTCCACCCACTTCTACACTCTCCACCCAATTACCCAGTTTCCACCCACTCCAACACTCTCCACCCAATTACCCAGTCTCTACCCACTCCCACACTCTCCACCCAATTACCCAGTCTCTACCCACTCCCACACTCTCCACCCAATTACCCAGTCTCCACCCACTCCTACACTCTCCACCCACTCCTACACTCTCCACCCAATTAACCAGTCTCCACCCACTCCTACACTCTCCACCCAATTACCCAGTCTCCACCCACTCCTACACTCTCCACCCACTCCTACACTCTCCACCCAATTACCCAGTCTCCACCCATTCCTACACTCTCCACCCAATTAACCAGTCTACACCCACTCCTACACTCTCCACCCAATTAACCAGTCTCCACCCACTCCTACACTCTCCACCCAAATAACCAGTCTCCACCCACTCCTACACTCTCCACCCAAATAACCAGTCTCCACCCACTCCTACACTCTCCACCCAAATAACCAGTCTCCACCCACTCCTAGACTCTCCACCCAATTAACCAGTCTCCACCCACTCCTAGACTCTCCACCCAAATAACCAGTCTCCACCCACTCCTACACTCTCCACCCAATTACCCAGTCTCCACCCACTCCTACACTCTCCACCCAATTACCCAGTCTCCACCCATTCCTACACTCTCCACCCAATTAACCAGTCTCCACCCACTCCTACACTCTCCACCCAACAGAGTTCTTCTGTGTCAGATCTTCATATTGAGGCAGTAGTGAACAGTAAATGAGTGTGTCCACATCGGCCTGCTCCACCTTCCACACACAGCTTTGATCAGCGCAGTGTGACGTGTGCAGTGTGTAATAATCTGCCATGAGTACTTCATGACGGCTGCTGGGGTCTTTACAGGATTATGAGATTTGATTCTTCAGGAATATCATCTGCCTGCCGCTGTGTGCTGGATAAACAGCAGTGCTAATCATCTGCGTCTGATCTGACTCCAGCCAGCATCAATTACACAATCACACTAAAAATACAACACAAACACCAACCCAGCGCAAACCCGCTGCAGCTCAGAGGAGAAACACACAGATCCTTAAACAACACACACACACACACACACACACACACACACCAGTACAGTCTGTAATCCAGCAATGATGAGGCTACTGGAGAGCAGTGTTGGGGGTAACGGGAATTACGTAATCATATTTATTTAAGTAACGAGTAAAGTACACATCGCTTCAAAAAATTAAGCAATCATATTAGAGTTAGTTTTTAGTGTAATTAATCAGCTTTTAAAAACGAAATTGCGTAATTAAAATGAGCAGTGCATGAGAGAACGCAGGAGCAGACCGAGAGCAGGACGGCTCTGGCTTACATTTCTGCAATGCTGGAAGTTTCTCAATATTCTGAACACATGAAGAACAGGAGAGGGGGATTACAGTCTCCATGCACACTGACTGTACTGCACTAATGAGACTAGAAGCAGCAAACACACTGCTCCAAACTCTCATTAATCTGTGTATACGGCATGGAGAGCTCTGGAAGTCATCACATTATCTACATTATTGTTGTCTGGTGTGTTTTTAAAGGGCAGCTGTGATGAACATCATCTTCTGTGATCTGTGTGGACAGAACTGTGTGCAGGTATAGTGTGTCCACAGCCATATTATACTGATATAAACACAATGAGTCTCTTTGTTGAATTGTGTTAAAATAGGATCCATAAGAGATCACCCATCCTGCTGTGGAGACCTGTGATGAATGAATGAATGAATGAATGACAAAGTGCTGAAGAAGAAAGTGTGTGTGGTCTTCTTCATCACATTCATTCATTCACTCATTCTCCTTTAGTTTAGTCCCTTTATTCATCAGGAGTCGCCACAGCGGAATGAACCGACAACTATTCCAGCATGTTTTACACAGCAGATGCCCTTCCAGCTGCAGCACAGTACTGGAAAAAACCCATACACACTCATTCACACACACACACACACACACACACACTCAATTCCCTTGTAGCGCATGTGTTTGGAGGAAACCCACACCAACACGGGGAGAACATGCAAACTCCACACAGAAACACACACTGACCCAGCCGGGACTCAAACCAGAGACCTTCTTGCTGTGAGGCGACAGTGCTGACCACTGAGTCCTCCTTGATCTCTGATTAATTCTCTCCTCAACAGGACCGCAGGGTTGTTCATGACTCTCTCTGCAGTTCAGAGGCAGCGCTGCACACCTGAGCCTCATCTGACTGTACTCTCAGTGGGATGTGCCTGAGTGACATATTGTTGCTAGGGTGTTTTGGGTAGTTGCCAGGGAGTTGCTATGGAGCAGCTCTCCTGCA